GTTAGATGTGGTTCAGATGCTGATCTGGAGCCTGGTGTCGCAGCACGGGGTGTTGTAGCGGGGTGTCAAGCTGCAACAACACGGGGAGATGCCAGCCGGAACGAGGCATGCATGCAGTGGTGCACGCACGCTAACTTCCCCCTTTTCCACACCCTCCTCAGGTATCTATCTATCTATCTCCCTCTCTCTCTCTCTCTATTGTCGCCCAAGTCATCCACTACCAAGCCGCTATGCCAAAGCTTCTCTAACTTCGCAATCCGCAGGGTCCCTGCGCACTTATACGACGCACATTTTCAGACACAACTTCATCGTTTTCGCCTCCACAACCGCGGTTATTGCATGCTTACAGGGGTCCTCTTCCGTACCGTCTGAGCACTTTTTGGAGCAGATCCGTGTCGGACAGCACGGGACCCAGCGTGTGTGTATGGGCACGTTTCCCGCCTCCTCCGCCTCCTTCACCAGCGCTCCAGCCCTTCCCGGCCGGATCAGTATCCCCCCCGGGCAGCATGCTGGCGGCCAGCAGGGAGCAGGCCCCGCCACCTGACCCCAGTGCGCCCTCCGCCACCAACTGCTGTGGATCCGAAACCACCGGCAGGCGGAACACCATGGCGCGCTTATCCAGATCCGCCAGCTGTACAACAAGACGTACGCCTCCTGGAATGACCGGGAGCGGCGGCGGTAGGGGTTGGGCGGATTGGACGGGTTGGACGGGTTGGGCATTACGAGGTCAAGTAGGCGGGTGTCGTCCATGGCGGAGGGTGGCCAGGGTGGCGGGTTCGCTTGCGCCTTTGTATGCGATGGGGGGGCTATGGGGGTTGCTGTAGAGGGCTGCTGGCCTAGATGGGAGACCTAGTCTGCCTTGGGCCGCCTCGCACGTGAATGGATTCAACTCCGATTGCCGGTAGGTTACTGCCAGCCAGAACGTGAGCTGTGTGTGCCCCGCGCCTTGGTTAAAACTCCCCAGGCTTTTAAACGCGCGGGGTGCTTGCTCTCGACAAGATGACATCCTCCGTATTGGATTCCCTAAAATCAAATGCTCGGTAGAACGCTCCTCCGAATCCTGCGCACACAAACCATACATCTTGGCAGCAGCTCGGGTTGCCTGATCGGGTTACCTGATCGATCGAGATTTCGGATTCAAAACATTTGGGTTCCAAACATCCTTAACAGGCGCCAAGCGGCATGCAAGGTCACACAAGCCACGCATTCCCAGCCGCTTTCCCCTACCACCAACCCCCCCGATCCAGACCCTGCAGCCGCACAACACGTCCACCTACCAAGTTCCACTTCCTCAAACTCGTGCGACACCTCGACCCTCTTTCCGGTCACACCCATATCCGGACGCTGGGATGCTGGCAAGCCGCCAGCAGTTGCCGCACCAAGAACTTGGTCTAACAGGTCGTACAGTCGTACCGTCAACCGCCCAACCACGCGGCCGCGGCGCCTGGTTATGGTGGCAACAACACGGGCGCAAGGAAACTCCTAGACAGCTGCTGCACGACCCGCACCCGCACATGCTGCGCGACAACACGACAAGGCGGGATAGGACAGGGGAGAGCCGGACCGAGGGCGGGAAGGAGGAAGGAGGGAAGGAGGGAAGGAGGGAAGGAGGGAAGGAGGGAAGGAGGGAAGGAGGGAAGGAGGGAAGGAGGGAAGGAGGGAAGGAGGGAAGGAGGGAAGGAGGGAAGGAGGGAAGGAGGGAAGGAGGGAAGGAGGGAAGGAGGGAAGGAGGGAAGGAGGGAAGGAGGGAAGGAGGGAAGGAGGGAAGGAGGGAAGGAGGGAAGGAGGGAAGGAGGGAAGGAGGGAAGGAGGGAAGGAGGGAAGGAGGGAAGGAGGGAAGGAGGGAAGGAGGGAAGGAGGGAAGGAGGGAAGGAGGGAAGGAGGGAAGGAGGGAAGGAGGGAAGGAGGGAAGGAGGGAAGGAGGGAAGGAGGGAAGGAGGGAAGGAGGGAAGGAGGGAAGGAGGCGTACCAACTACCCAGACCGCGCCACAAGAAGCGATGATGTCAGCAATGATGTGACACGGCCGGCCGGCATGTGGTGCAACAAGAGTGCCTCACATCTGAATAAGTGGACAACAAGCACATGCACATACACCCATAATTGCAAAGACACAGCGATCCCACTTGAACACTGCCATGTGCGTACGTTTCTGCCTGTCTGTCTGTCTGCCTGTCTGTCTGTATACCTCCAGGCCATCTTTCCTCATAGCACAGGCATACATAGACACATGACGCGCCGTACCTTACGGAAGTGGTGACGTACATGGCCAGTCCCACCGGCACATTGTTCAGCGGCCTAGTGAGGGTGAACACAAACACAGAGGGTTGTAGCGCCACCGAGGCAGCGGCCTCCGCGAGGTGCTGCAGCTGCTGCGCGGGGGACACACCCGGAGGGGGAGGAGGCGGGGCGGGCAGCCAGCGCAGCCGGCTCTTGGCGGACTGCTTATCCACGGACACCTGTGCGCGCAGAGAACAAGGTGACCACCGCGGGTTTATTTACGAATAAACGGGGTTCGTGGGTTCACAAAGACATAGTTTTCGTACGTTTTAGGTGATTTTAGTGAGTTTCAGCGGGATGTTGCTGAAGGGTGGGAAGATGAGATGAACAAGCAGATTCGGATGAGCGGGACAGCGGCACGCAGTGTATTGTGGTTGATGGCAGCAGCTGCAGTGCGGCATTGTAACTCCTCCGTGCCCGCTATCCTCCCCCCCCCGGCACCTGATATGGGCATATACGTGGCCACCTGCTCCATCCCGTGAGCCCCCGGGGCCCCTCCCGCACACGCCATCTCCCACCTTGAAGTAGCAGAAGACCCCCTGGCCCTGGACCTGGCCCACCCCCGTCGATGGCTCCTCTGCAGTCATGCCGCTCAAGGGCAATGTGGGATTCAGCATCAGGCTGGACCCATCATCGGCGTCATCAGCGGAGAGGGTCTTGTCCTCGGCGCTGCTGGCGGCGGCGGCGCCGCCGCCGCCACCGCCGCCAGCAGCGCCAGGACCCGCGGTGTCTTCCTCCTCCTCCAGCAGATCATCCATGGATCCGCTTGGGGCGGGCGCCGCCACCGTACGGCCGCCGCCGCCGCCGAGGCGCTGTCGGACGTGGTGAAGTGACCCAGACAGAATTCGTGGCAGCCATCCCAAGGGAAGGTAAAAGCGGCCGGCGGCGGCGCCACCGCCGCTCGCTGCCGTTGCGGGTCCACCTGCGCCGCCGCCCGACTTGTCGTCAGGTGGTTCAAAAGGAGGAGTCTGCAGCTGTGCCCGGACATTCTGCTGCTGGCGCCTGCGTCTCAACCGCTCCAGGAAGGGGCCCATGCCGCGGGTGACGGAAGGCGAGGCGAAGGGAACGGAGGGCACGGGGGCTGATCCCTGCGGCATGAACGGCAGGGCAGCCTGTCCGCGACGGTACGGCGACGAACAATCCAGCACGGCGACGAACACATACATACATACACACATGCATGCATACACAAGCAACATGCACCCGTTGCCATCCATTCCGTCAGTCCTCATGGACCTCGGAGCAAAAGGCCTGGGGAGCACCCGGGAAGCGTAGGCTCACGCAAACCACTGCTGCAGGAGGCTGTACAAGTACTTGATTTATCCGATATCACGCGCCCCTCTTCCATCCCGACGCGCGAGTGAAAACCTAGAATGCCTGCTGCCCGCCACCACAGGCCCTGCCTCAGGCCCGTCCCACACGGGGCCACAAGGCGCAACTCCGCGCTCCCCTCACCGCGGATGGCAGCGCGGCCTTGGCGGCGGTCTGGAGGCCCCGGGAACGCTCCCGGTCACCTCCCCGAGCGTCCCGTGGGTCGCGGACGTTGCTGCTGACGCGGTATGCCTCCAGCCGCACACGCTTCTTGGATGTGCCGCCCTGCGAGGCCCCCTGGAGCAACGTGTCGTAGCTTAGATCCACCAGCCCCACCACCTGCACCATATCACCATCAGGTGCAGCAGAGAAGGGTTGACGGCAGATGAATGTCCGCATGATGTATGTATGTATGTATGTATGTATGTATGTATGTATGTATGTATGTATGTATGTATGTATGTATGTATGTATGTATGTATGTATGTATGTATGTATGTATGTATGTATGTATGTGTGCGTGATTCTCGGTATAGGGGAGATGACGGATAGCGGACGGTAGAAATGGGCTCAGCACAACATCAGAGCCTAACATGCCCCTCTTTTCCTCTCGCCCTTCCTCTCGCCCTTCCTCACTCCCTCTCACTCCCAAGCAGCACAAGACCGAGCGTAGGGTGCACATGGGGGGAGTGGATGTGTGAAGACGGAAGCTGCGGAGGGCGCAAAGGCACTAACGGGAAAGAGCTCTCGAAGCCGGAAACAGGGCGCGAGGAGCGCTCGTTGGAGCGCACGAAACCATTGTAAACTCACGAACCAGGCGCATGGAAAGCAGGTGCAGCATGCGCCTCCGCTCCCACAAACCCCTTGCAGGCTTGTACTCCGTCCCTGTCCGCTCCGATCCTCGCTCCACCCACCCACCCCCAGCAGCAGCGGCAATAGCAGCAAAAAACGGACACAGCAGTAGCAGCAGCAGCAGCAGCTCACCGATAACTTAAGTGCCACCACGCATGGCTCCTCGTACAGTGTCCCCAGAGGGCTGTGCACCACCTGCGGCATGGACTTGCTGCCGCAGGGCGCGGACAGGTTACTGGTCACCACACCCGCCTCGCCCAGGTCGGCAGGAGCCACGGTGGGCAGGCTGTAGGGGCACTGGGCGGCTGCAGGCAGTCCGGAAAAGGCAGGCGAGAACGGGACGAGAAGGGGGGAAAAAGACAGAAGGGGAAGTCATATGATGATGGTCTACAGGTTTGATCGTATCCCCGGTGTGGCCCCTGGGTGTGGTCACTGGGTGAGAAACACAGCGGAAAAACACATACACATACAAACATACACGCACATACACATACAGAGAGAGATGTTGGCACAGGGATCAGGAGGGGGACGTTGAGGGAGTCCCCGTAGGAAGGGCTTGAGGGGAGGGAGGCTGGGGAGAGGACCCTACCCCAGCGCTGCGAGGTTGCAGGGGACTGGGAGTACTCCCGGCAGGGAGGTGAAGAGGGGTGAGTGCCCGCCCGGGGGGCCCCCCCCACCACAGGTTATGAGGATCCCGCGGCCTCACCTCTGTCCACCACCTCCGGCTCCACCCATGCCGCCACGTGCAGCTCTCCGCAGGTTCCCGGTTCCACCTGTCCGGTCTCCTCGTCAATGGCCTGAACGACAGCAGCAGCAACAACAACAACAACAGCAGCAACCAGGAGCGGGATGCCTCGAGGTGGGCGTAAGGGGAGCGGTGGGAAGTACGCATGCGGGGCTAGGAAAGGAAAAGGAGTTGGTGGAGCACACAAGGTGGGGGGTTTGAGACGGACGCACAGCGGTCACAAATGACACGTTGTCCCACCACACACGCACCTCCCGGCGCTTCCCTCCTGGACCCCTCGCCCCCAAACAATTCTCGTAAAAGCCCGCAACTCGCGACCCGCCTCATGAATGCATGCATCGAACTCCAAGCTCCGCCTCCATTTCAACCACCGGTGGCTCTCCCCACCTCACCGGAATCTAAACCCACCTGGATTCAACCGACAACAAGTGGGCCCTACCATACAGTACGACGCCCAGGTGCGAAGTTAGTTACAACGCATGAGCATCATTCCCTCCCCTTCACACCGCGATGAGCCGCCTGTGTGTTTTCCTGTCCCCGCTTCGCCCCCACAAGGCAGACACCCAAAAGGATGTTAACAGTAGCAAAGCGCCCCGGACCCCCCCCCAGGTCCTATTACTGCTCTCATATTACGCTTGTACATGAGCGTCGGTCATTCTCCAACAAAGGAAATCTCCACCGGGCGCCGCACAAGCGGACATCCAGGGCATCCAGCAGTAGCTCACCCAAGCTAAGGGCGTCAGCTGCGCCGGCCAGCTGCGAAAACCTGCACACCGAACGCCGCCTATCCTTTCTCTTCCTCACCCCCCCTTTACCTTCCCCCACAAACACACCTTCCTATGGGTCCCCCTCCCGCCCCTCCCTCCCCCTTCGAGCCCCACCCCACCTGCAGCTCCAGCACGGTGCTGAGCGGGTGCGGGTTCTCCACCTCCAACATGGGCCCCAGCAGCAGCTCCGCCTGACCCACCAACACGTCGTCCGGTTCACTGCACCACACCTCCAGAACCACACGGCCGCCAGGAGCGCCCTGAGGGGGGGAGAGTGTAAGGGGGTATTAGCAGGGGTGCGGCACGGCGGCGGCAGCGCGGTGGTGTGGGGCTGAGGGAGCGGCAACTGTACGCGGAACAGGACCCAGCGGGGGTTGGGGGGGACGCCAGGAAGGACATTTGGGTGCATTCGGAGGGGGGGAATGGGGAGGGGCCGTAATTGCCGGAGGTTCGAGGACGCTGGGGGGCCCCTTTCCCCCCCCCCCGGGGCGGTGCTGGTTGGGAAACATGAGGAATGTATTTCACACGATCACACAAACCTCGCTGTGTACATGCACTGTTGCGAAGCCGGGTGGGTTGCGAAGCCGGGTTGCCGCCATTGGGTTGGGTTGGGGGGGGGAGGGTCTGGGGAGGATTTGGGGGATGCCGTGCCCAGAGGTGTCCGGGTGCCGTCTAAGACGCGGAGGATCAGGTGTCCTGCTGGAGAGGCTCTTGTAGTACAGCATCTGCCCACCTCCAGCACCTCATATTATTATTGCAGATTTCAGGGTCAGCCTCAACCCACGCCCAGCCTCACCCTCACCCCACACTCCCCACTACATCCCACCGCACCGCATCCCACCCCGCGCCGCCCAACCCCACGCCCACCCCTTTACCTCTAGGCAGGACCTTGGCAGGCTGAACACCTCGTTCCATTGCACCGTGTTGCTGTTGCCGCCTCCCCACGCTACCCCTCCTCCACCCCCTGCCCCGCCTCCCCCTTGCGCGACGGGGGCCGCCTGCGTGCTCCCACGCAGCTGCCCGCCCACCAGCAGCAGACAGGAGCAGCTGTAGTCCATACCCTCAAAGCTTGGCCACACGAGATGCCGCCCCTGCCGGACCTGAGGCCGTGAAAGAGGCGTTTGGGACAATGCGGCGTCTGGCATTCATTCGGCGTAACGTTACACGGTGCCGGGCGTGTGCTTTTTTAATTACGCGTGCGTATGTATGTATATGTGTGTAAGTTGTGGAGGCGAGGGCAGTGTGCAATGCAAATGGGCCAATGGGGGAGAGTCAGCATGTGTGGAAGGCATGAGGAGGAGGGGAGGGACACCAGTACAGGATGGGGGGGGGAGGAGCTCGTACACCGGGTCGGGGGGCCACTACGTGGCACGGTAGGCTGGGTTGCTTCAACCCACAGACGACTGATAAGGAAGTGACGCGACCGTGCCCAAGAGATCTGCTGTACTGCTGTGCTGTCGTACATTGACGGTGTTGTCGTACCTGGATGTATACGGGTCGTGAGGCGGCCGCGGGCGACCCCTGGACAGCCCCGGTAGCCCCGGCAGCTAAATCACCGATGGGCTGCAGGGGGGGGAGTGGGGGGAGGGGTGGGCGGGTGGGTGGATCGCGGGGTTTTGAGCATTACGACAGCGGACGTGCACCAGCAGCTTGAGCAGTGCGGGCGGGGAGAGAGAGGCGGAAGACCGCGGGGCCGCCGAGTGGAGGCTGGTTGGAGGGGTGAAGAGGTGTCACAAACGTACGACAACATGGCACGTGGGCTTTCGTCGCCTTCAACCCTGTCGTACATCATTGGTGGGCAGGTTCCCGCCGCTGCAGCCATGTTCTCCTCCCCCCTACCTACCCACATACCTACCCACCTACCTACCTAACTAACTAACCAACCCCCAACCCACCTTGCCGCCTTCGCCGCCGCCCGAGGTCATCATCAGGCCCCGCTGGCCCGCCGCTGGCCCGAATCGCACCCTCCGCCGGCTCCGTGGCAGCAGACGATACGGCCGCAACAGCTTGACCACGTTGACCAGCCTCACCAGGTTGACCCACCTGACCACGTCCTGCGAAGCGTTACGAAGGGGACGTGAGTGAGGGCAGGGGGAGGGCGGGGGAGGGTACCGGGCGGCTGACCAGAGGGCGGGCGTGTACACCCCGTGTCGAGAATCAACCAGAGGGGACGCTTGCGGCCGGAGGTGGTTCCCCAGGGTGTTTGGGTTGCGCGTGTGTCTGTGTCTCTCTCTCTCTCTATGTGTGTGTGTATAAGGGGGAGGGATAGATTAGGAAGGGACCAAAAAGGGCGACTTAAAAGTACGAGCCTTGGTGGCTAGCTCCCGACTTCGCTTCGTAGAGGGGAGGGCGAAGTGACCAACCCCACCACCCACCACCCACGATCAACACCAGCATCATCAACACCAGCATCGACATCACTGCGCCGCAGCGCAATGCACGTTCGCGAGATGCCATCCAGCAGCCAACCAACATCTTCAACATCCCCCCCCCCGGCCGCCCTCCCCCCAATCCCTAACGCCGCAACATGTCCCCACCTGCACTCGGGTTGTGGATACGGGTACCGCGTGGTGGGGTCGGCCGACGTGCTTGCGACTGGAGCCCGGGCTGTGGCTGTGGCCGCGGCCCGCGGGGTCCCACCCCCGGCTGGCGCTTCCCTCCAGCGGGCCCGAGGCAGGCCGCGGCACCAGCGACACGGTACGGCGACGGGGAGGCATCTCCTGGAGCAGCAGGGAGGGGAGGGGAGGGGAAAACGAACCACGAGCGAGTGAAAAGCTGATGGCAGGGGCAAAGGAAGGGAGGGCCCCACTCCTGCTGGCTGGCGGTGGCGGAGCACGTGCTATGTGTAGTCCTTCGGTGCGGCGCTGTGCTGTGCTGTGCAGTGTGGAGATAGGACCGCTGCTCAAGATGATGGAAAGGGGCCATGGGCTTGGACTGAGTCCTAGGACCCCCAGTGCTGGGACCGGACACGTCACCACCGCCTGACCCAAATGGGGGCGGTCGTATGCGCTCCAGCGTCACTCCGAAACCAGCTGGGACGCGGGTAAGTACTGGACTGTACAGGGATGGGTCTCCGGGAGCCAGTTCCGCGAACCGCCGCCGCGAAATGGGTCTTCACCGCCTCACATGTGAGGTAGCGCTCAGCCCTCTCACCAGCTCGCGGTAATAGCGCTGCTCAGTTGACCTGGCCGCGTCGCCATCGCCGCCTCCACCGTCGCCCTCATCGCCGCTGGCGGTGGCGCCGGGACCCGCCACGTCCACCTCCGCCTCCGTCGTCTCCACTGCTGCTGGTGCAGCTGAACGACTCCCTGCGCCCACCAGCAGGTGCACGTTACACGTGTCGCGGGGTACGGGCGAGCAGTAGGGTCTGTAATGAGGGCAGGTGCGTGCTGGGCGCAGGGGCCAGCTGGCCTCGATGTTCGCCAGGTTAGCGTGTAGCAACTTGTCAGGAAGCTGGAGGGATCGGGGAGTTTCGCAATGCATCTGCAAGAGTGCTGTTTCCTCCTCCCCTCCGCCAGAAAACCCAACTCCACCCGTGTGCGCGGGATACGGGAGCCACGTTCCCGGCCGAGGATGATAATTGATTGGGGCGACGTTGGTTCTCACCTGGTCGCCAGGCACGCTTCAACGTGTCGGAAAAGGCCGCCAGGAGCCCTTTGCGGCCGCTGCCATGACCTCCGCCGGGTTTCACGGGTTTAATGGAGGCTCGCGGCGACTCAGGAGGAGCGTCCAGGCTGTTGCGCATGGTTCCCGTCTAGTTTCGAATTCCTGCTATTTCATGCATCTTATCCCTCGCCGTATGTATGCAACGAGGCATATTACTGACATGGTATCATTATAATTTATGTTATCAGCTCTGTCCTGCTGAGCCAGGGTTCCGCCGAAAGCTACAAGTGGCAAAGAATGTGGTTGTTGGGCAGTTCGGAGTTGACCATTGACCCGTGACATCAAAAGTTTCATTGGCAAAAACCACACGTCATAGAATTGGCTAGACGTATTTACTTAGTCAGTCGGGGAGTTGCTCTCGCAGTCGGTTGGGACAGCTGTTGTGCAAAAGTTGCCATAGGCGAGGCATCAAATCAGGAGTTGCACATATAAGTATTATGACGTGAATTGTTCATTTATTTCCAGATCTAAAGGTTTGATTCTACATATTATGATAGAGTAGGGAGAGATTGCCAGGTTCGCTCAGGTGCAACGGCTGTAAGGTCGGACCTGCCGCCTCACAAGTCGTCATCAGCATCGCGATAGAACGCACGCATCAAGTCACGTCGCGATGAAATCCGGGTCACCCTCAAAGACGTCATCGCGGCGTCGCGGTTTCCGCCTCGAACACCTCGCCGGTTTCTTTGTCGCTGCTGCGGTAATCTTCTTCGTGTATAGCGTATTCCAGGCTAGCCTTGGCGGCAGTGGCAGCGGCGGATCCACGGGGGCAGGCAGCTTGGGATTCCGCACCCGCTCTCTGGTTCATCTCGGTGGCAATGGCCAAGCGTCGACCGCGGAAGCCGCATCACCCAGCCCATGCCCTGAAGCCCATGTGAGAACAGAGAAGGTTACCGTCACAAAGCTGGTGTATGGCAGCACCGTACAAAACCCGCGCGCATACCATGTTGTCACGACGGCGGCCGGGTTTTCAAACCACTGGCAAGCCCGCATTCATTACTACTGGTACAAGAAGCAGCGGGACGCCTGTCTCCGTGAGGCAGTATGCGATATGGGCGGTTTCACACGTATCCTGCACAGCGGCAAGGCAGACGACCTCATGGATGAGATCCCTACCGTCGTGGTGGACCCCCTGCCGCCCTCCATCTCCAAGAACTCGACATACATTGTGCTGAACCGGCCATACGCGTTCATCCAGTGGATCAACAAAGTCAGCATTCCGGAGGTGAGCCGGCGATGCGATGTGGGTGTGTGGGTCTGTGGGTGTGGGGCATCGCTCGTGCACAGGCCAGGAAGGCGGACACCGGGGTCATGAATCCCCGAGCTCATAAGGCCCCCTGAGGGCTTTCAAAACACCTGGTGGATCTTATTCCTGGTAGGGTCCAGAGATGGACGCATGTGAGCGAATGAGTAAGTGCGCAGCGGGTCGGTTGAGCAGGTTAGAGTCAGGGAGCGTCAAGAAGAAGGGAATGAAGAGGCTGTGTTGGCGTGAGGTTGTCGCTCCAATGGGGCTGACCCTCACTTGCCGATAGGCCAGCCTGGCATGAGCAGAGCAGGGTGTGTATGGCGGGTTACAGGTCTCCTGGATTTCTCCCAGAGACGCGAGACTGGACGCATGATGGGCCCGTAGGTCTGGTGATCGTACTGGTTTGTATCATGGTCCGCGGGAGAAGGGGGTCCGCTGCGGGGCGCCGCGCCGTCCTCCCCGGTTCACCCGCATACCGACAGCCTTGGGGAAGGGGCGGTCCAGGGGTGACCAAGGCCATAAGGTCGCCGGAAGCCGACGGCTGCTGGCCGTTGGGGCCCATTGCTGCGACTTGGATGTGCCTAAAGCAGCACGTGCGTTGGTTGCTCTCAATCTCCCCTCCACACCTACCTAGACACATGGCGGTGTTGAGAGGGGAACCAGATGCAGTCCACCATGGTAAATTCTAACCATACAACTTTTCTAAGAAGCACAGAGCACAGGGCACAGGGTTCAGCCCCCCTGCGGTCCTTAGCACCTGCCTGGTAGGGCCGGAAAAAACTCTTTAATGGTAGAGCATCATGTCATGGGAATAGCGCCTGTCCTAGTCACCCGCCGTGTCGGAGGTAAAGGTTGGATGTTTACAAGCCGTGTGCTTACCTGATGATTCTGTCCTTCGCACCGCTCACTGACCGCGTGTCGGAACCCCCTTCCCCCCTGCGTGTCGGAACCCCCCTTCGTTTGCCGCCGGCTGCAATACTCACTGGACGTCACTCGGCCCATGGCTTTTTCCGCAACCTCCGCCTTGCTGCTGTGGCCGTCACGGGACGCGGATGCCCCTGTGGAACACTGCTGCCGCCTCCCAACGTGCCACACGACCGCCACCGCCAACATTCCCGCCGCCTGCCATCGTCGTCGGCCGCCTTTTCACTGGTCCTGGACATTTAATTAACTCCTCTACCCTTCCGCCGATGCCGCCGATGTCCGCCTTCACCTCTACCACCGCCACCATCTCTGATGCCGACGCCAATCCTTCCGGCCACATTGCTGATGCCAACGTCAACGCCTCACCTTTTAGAAATACTTCGTCATGTGCGAGACGGACCACCTGTTCATGCGACCGATGCCTAACCTAATGAACGGCGAGTCTCAAGGTGCGGCGTTGTTCTCCTACATCGTGCCCTGGGACTACCCGGCCATTGTGCGCAAGTTCATCGGCAATGTGAGCGACGAGGAGATTCACCGTGTGCCGCAAATCGGCAACAGTCCCACCTTTGTGAGCGTGGACGAGTTCCGCGTCGTGGCACCTCTCTGGTACAACACCACGCTGGAGATTTACGAGGACAAGGAAGCGCATGATGCGTGGAACTGGGTGCTGGAGATGTACGGGTACTCGCTGGCGACATACCGCGCGCGCCAGAATGTCAACATGAAGGTGTGTGTGTGGGGGGGGGAACTCGCGACACGTCTGGGAGATGTGGAGTATATGCAGGGTATATATGTGCCCTATATATAGCACTTTATATACCGTTTATATTATATATATAACCCTTATATATACTGTACCCTCATAGCATGAGGGTCTGATTTGTACGCCAATTTGTTACTGATGGCGCAAGGAGGAGCGCAGTTGGTGGGGTCGGCGACGGCAGGCCCTGATACGCGGCAGATCAGCTTGCCGGTCTGTTCCGCCGCAACGCCCATCTGCGACACCTTTCTCCGGGAGCTTCCCTCTTCCTCCGCATTATAGTGACCCTCGTGGCAACATACACATTACCCTCAACAGGTTCACCCTAACATGCTGGCGCACCCACCATTCGACAAGGAGGAGGTCGACTACGAGGGGCGACCCTTCTACCTGCTGCATCTCACCTACCCCTGTCGCTACGACAAGGATGGCAACATGACGGACAACAGCACCCTGACAGCCTACGCCTTTGACAAGCGGGACTACAGCTCCAAGCCGCCCGCACGCAACCTGCCGGAGCCCCCGCTGGTACGGGGGTTATGTGGGTTTGTGCTGCTTTCGTTCAGCCCCAGGGAACGGGCCCCGGGCCCCTTCCTGCCCTCGGACGTCCGCAGATCGACCGGGACCCGCATCGGATTAAAATCCGCATGCGAATGAATAGATGTGTTCGGACATTGCAGGGGTGCTTGTCGGCCAGGGCGGAATGCTGACGCCGGGTTGGCCGGCTGGTTGGTTTTCAAAGATCTGGGGAACAGAGCGCAAGGGAAGACCAGCGAACGCTGGCGGAGGAGGAGAAGGAGGAGGGCTGCCGCCAGTTTGGGTTCCGTTTGGTGGACTGGATCGGGATAGTTCGCTGATGATTAGGCTTGTTTGGGGGGCATCGGCATCGCTGGGGGTAGACCGTGGCCCTTCCCACGATGCCCTCATCTCTGTTTCCTACGTGGCCTGGCGCGTTCCCTCCGTCCTGCATTCCGCCCCCCGCTTCGCAGTTCGTTCGCAACAATTTGGTGCGGCTGATTGTGGCCATGGTGAACGAGGCGACGGAAAACCTCCCCTGCTGGGACGACTATGTGGCTACCAGTAAGTTCGTTTGTGGATTGGCTTGTGCTGTGCTGCTTGGGGGGGTTTCAGGGTGTTTTTGCGTGTGGGCTAGGGCTTAGCCGCGTCCTTGTGCAAGGTGGACGGAGTGTTGGTACAGGCATGGATGGATGTGCATGTTCGCGGTTGTCCACACGGGTGCGCAAGTGCGTGGCGTGCGGATAATTGGGCACGTCTATGGCGGCTCATCACTTGGTTTACTTTCAGTGCCATCGTGGCTCGGGATCGGAACCGAAGATTGTTATTACGCGGCGGGGGTTGGATAGTGTGCTCCGGGATGGGCCGTTTGTTTGGATCTCGGGGCTGGTATAATCGACAACACGGCCGCTTGAAGGAAAATCCAGATTACCAACATACAGAGTGATGTTGAATTGTAGTGATGGTTTTGGGGCTCAGCTCGACGGCATGGGAATCACCATCACCGTGTATCCCTTGCCTTGAATGTGACCCGCACATGCATGTTGCTCCACCCTGTCCTGTACCTGTCTTTCCTTCTGCCGTCAGCTCGCGCGGGACTGATTTTACTTTCCCGCTCGGACCCTCTCCCCCCGTTCGGAATCCGCCACACAGGCAAAGTGACCAAGTGCAATCAGCACAAACAAGGCGGGACTGCTTTGCTAGCCTCGACGTAGCGCCGGGGACACTGGGCAAGCTAGCTCCTAGCGATGCAGGATGGTGTACTTAGCTGCAGCTATCATGGATGCTTGTTGGAAGGGTTAGTGTGGCGCGTATTGGGTTCTGCACTGGTGCCGTAACGTGACGTGACTTTGGCCAGGGCCCGGCGACGGATGGCTATTATATTGCGATAATTGCATAATGCGCGCATGCTTAATAAAGCGCGCGCTGATTAGAGTCGTGCTACTGCTAAGGTGCATGGTGACATTGGTGATTCCGCGGGCGATTTCGTGAAACCCAGGTCGTTAAAGTCGTACGGACGTGTGTGATCAAGGCTCCAAAACTTGGGAATAACCTATTTTCATATTATTAATGTCGTGATCTCCATAACAATACTTGTAACGAATTTTGGGTAAAAGGGTGCAGAGCGCGAAAGCGTTTCTGAAGAAGCAAATTTGTAGACCGCTTGTAAACTTACCACAGGTAACCAATTAACGACAGATCAATGACCGGAACATCCGCCGAGAGGGCAAATCGGGTATTCGTGAAACTGTCGTCGAGGGCGGATGGCGTCGACTGTGGCGCTTCTGCATCTACATTGCGAGGTGAAATACAGATATTTATACTTGCTTAGGCGGATTGAACCTGTGAAGAAACGTGTGGTACACCGCTTGGTCGTAGCTGATTCTATCGGAGCATCAGCTAGCGGGGCCACGCCTTCACCCTCCGTCGCCCCATCCGAGCAGCAACGGGTAAGATTCTCATCCATTGATTCACGACAACTGCATTCTGTTGGGTCACCTTGGCCTACCTTTTGCAAGCCCATGAATCCATCAAGTTCACGTAACACACGGCACGCTGAAACCCGAACCTCTTCCCCATGCGCACCGCAACGACAAACAGCATTCTCTCTAATCCGACAGAGCCACCCGTCTACACCCTGTTTGACATCCATGCCCCGGTGCGCTTCAGATTCCCTCCAGCTGCTCCTATGCGGCCGCTTCCACGTCCTCGCCGCCACTACCTTCATCCCTTCCATCCACATCTGGAAGCTGCCCCATGATACCAGCGGATGGCGGCACCCTCAACCCGCTCAACAACATCCCCGCGGGTCTCACCACACAGCCTGCCCCGCCGGGTCTCAGCACGCAGCGCCAGACGTCTAACATCCCCATGGCCCCGCCCAGCAAGCTGCCGCCCCACCAGCAGCCTGGGCATGACTACTGGGTTTACCCATCGGAGCAAATGTTTTACAACGCCATGAAGCGGAAGGTGGATGATCGGGTCTGAGAAGCAGGAGGGGAAGCACGTGAGCCGATTGGGAAGGAAAGAGAGGCAATATGTGGCGTTGTGTTGTGGAAAGGAATGTTGAAGGTGAATGTTGAAATGGTGTAAAGGCGGAAAAGCTTACGGTGAGGGGCGATTGCAAAGAGGCCCCGGAGGGGGAAATTACAGTAGACGGAATTACAGTTTGCGCTGCCTGTCCTGTGTGGCTGAGTTCCGTAGCCTGAGTTCTGCAGCTATTCCTTTGGAGCGCTAACGCTGCCGGCAGTACCCCCACCAGTACCCCCGCGGTGGTGACCCACCCCACCCCTCACCCCGCACACCCCTCTCTTCGCCGACCCCGCGTGTCCCCCGCTGTGCTATGTGCCCCGCCTGGCCCCCGCCTGGCCACGCGCCGCTCGCAGGGCTGGGACCCACAAACTGAGGACATGCGCAATGTGGTGGCGATTCACAACTCCGTCAACGAACGGGCCTGGAGGGAGGTGATGGCTTGGGAACGGCTGCACTGCGAGGAGTGCCCCAATCCGCGACTCAAGCGCTTCCAGGGCCGACCGAGTGATCTCAGTCCCAAGGCACGGCTGCTCAACTTCGTGGTGGGTTGTATCGACGGTTGTCTGACAGCTCGCGGCACCGGGCGCAGTGGCCACTTGGGACAAGTTAGTAACCGCATTGCCGTGTATGCCGTATTGCAAAGACACTGCCATCAGCAGTATGTCTCTCTCTCTGTGTCTCTCTCTCTTTCCACCGTTTTTTCAGATCGCGTTGGGTTTCTTAGGGGGAAGCTACTTGCGGAGCTGTTCGATGGGTTGCCTAACCACTTTCCTGCCGCTCCAGGTGTATGGAAACCCCCACCGCTGCATGCGGTACAAGCGGTTCGTGTTGCCCCCGTCTCCCTCCACTTCCCGCCCTCCAGGGTTTCGGCCTCCCGTTTGACCGGCACGACTGGGTTGTGGATCGCTGCGGCCGGGAGGTGAGGGGTTTGGCACGGTTTTGGACGGACGAGCCCCGGTTATGGCGTCTGAGCCCAAGACGATGACGATGGCGACGAAGGGGACCTCGCGGGCTAGACCTGTGACGGCAACACCCACCCACTCACAGCGGGGCCCACCTGGGGGGCCCGTAAGGCCAAATCCCACGCTTCGGCCCTCCTACCGCAGCTCCTACCGCAGCTCTGCCACCTGCTCCACCATCTGAAAACAACGCAGTACCTTTCGCTGTCGGTTTGACCCTCCAGTCGGCATTTCCACTGGCGAGGCCCTCTCCTCGAAGACTTCTGTGTGTGTGTGTGTGTGTGTGTTTCCCTTGGGCCCTACTTCCTGATCCTGGCGAGTACCGCACCGACCTGTTAGAGAATCAACTTACTCTCTCTGTTGCTCTCGCCAACCGCACCGTTTGAAAGGCCACCTCCTGGCATTACCTGGCCTGGCCTGCTGCTCCTTGGCGCATCAGAGAAAATGCATCCTTTTGTTTTGTCGTCCGCAGGTGCGCTACGTGATTGATTTTTACAACGGCGCTCCGCAGCCAGGCCAAGCTGCCCCTGTGGCCTTCTTCCTGGACGTGCGACCCGCCCTGGACTCCGTGGAGGCTGTTTGGGACCGGATACGGATGCAGGTCGCCTGGGTGGTCAGTGGCCGGTGGATGGAGCGATGACACAGGCGGATGACAGCTGACAGCGGTTCGGGGTTGCTAACGGTTACGGCGGTAGTAGTGGGTAGGGTGGGATGGCCCTGGGTGTTGCTGATGGATTCAGGCCATATCGCCTGCACAGCCGTTTCGAGACATGTTAATCGTGTTTTCCGGTGATGGTGGTTGTGGTGGTATGTGCTGGCCTGCGTGAGAGACGCTATGAGTGCAGATTAGCTAGCATGCCTCGGGCGGCAGGGCTGAGGCTTGAGGGAGTCCGTTGCTTCCCGGTATGCGGTATGGGGTGCTGCTGACAGCTGAACAGGAGGAAGCAGTACGGGCGGAACCCGACTGTGCCCGGGGCATGTGGAGTCGTGGCAGGAGTCCAAGGTACCGGGCCCATAGGTGTGAGGAGCGCTCAGGGCTGGCCATGGATGTGGAGCCAGGGGCGACGTACGTCTGCTGTGACCTAATGGCAGGGACCAATATTGCGAGTGCGTTGTGGGTACAAGAGACAAGGCTGTTTCTTTGAGCAGCAACCCCTTTGACTTCTCGTACAGATAGATGTAGTTCAGGTTTGGGTGACGAGCAACTCTCTGTTTGGATGGCCTCGACAGGTTACATTGATAATGCCTCGTTATAATAACAGCGACGATGAATGACAGGTCTTGATCAAGGGGAAAAGGCTTTATCACATCAAAAGTCTAAGAAGCTTCGATGTACGTTTAACTCCGTATCCTGTGCTTTGTGCCAGTGCTGAATAGGATAGCATATGCAGTCCTGGATTGACTCCGTTTTACTAAGTTGCTGGTTACGCTCTTATCTGCGCTTCGAATCTGTCCAACGTGTAAAGAATTGTATTATGCATACTGCCCACGAGCTTTAAGCATTAAACTACTTTTAAGAATTCACATGAAAGCTCTTAATTAAATATTTATTAGCCGCTTCATACTGTTTCTGGGCCCAGCCAAGGCATTGAGGGTACTATACTAAGTGACGGCGCGGTTTGGAAGAAAGAGCTCACCCATCTCTTTTCCTATGGAGGGCACAAGAAGCGTTGGTGAAGTGGGGCCCAGCGGCTTTCGCAACCTCGAACCCATAAACCGGGCGCAGCGGGATGCACTACGAGACAAGGACTATCTCGAGAAATCGCGCCTTGTAGCCCGGAGGAGGAACATCTTGCAGCCACCAGAGAACTACATGGGCGATCCTGTTGTGCCACCACGCCAAGCCCCGTCGTACTGTGACGAACACGACAGGTTTAACCGGGATGTGGCCATGGAGAACTATCACCGGAAGCATGAAGCCCTTCAAAAGAAGGAGGTACGCTTGTGCAACTCGCGTAACGGATGCCCGGACGTTGGGGCCTCGCTGCCAGGGGTTCCCTGCTCGAACCCCGCCACGTCCCCCCCTGCGGTGCATGGCTGTGGCTGCAGGAGCTGTACGCCGCAAACCGTGTAGTCCATTACAATCGGGAATATGGTATCAAGGCCGCTGACAAGGCCCTAGAGCAGCGGGACGCAACCAAGTTTGAAATGGCGCGGAACACGGGGACAGGGGCCCGACGGAACCAGAGCGGTGAATCCTACAACATCATCAGCTTGGACTATAACCGGAATAACAGCGGCCAGACGCTGGCATCGCAGGTGCGAAGGCGACGTCCAGAAGCGGGTCCTCCTTACAAACGTTTTTGCACCTTTACTTGCCGTCCACCGGGCGTCTAAACCCAGGAGTGCAGCCGCTCGACAAGAGCGCTACTGCCTTCCCGCATCACCATCGCGTTCTCTGAGTGGCGAACTACTGCCGCCCCGCAGCGGCTCCGTCCCCCTCTTGCCTCATATCCCACCGGGTGTCCCACATGCCCCAGGCATACATAGCCGTGAAGTTTCGCGAAGTTCATCCTCCCGGCCGTCGGTGGTTTTGTTCCCCGTTGTCCGGTTGCCCTCTCCTGCAGCCTCGCGGAGCGCCTTCACCCCTCCAATCGAACACTTTGGGGTTCCCCCCTCTCTCTCCCCCTGCAGGATGCGGCTTACCAGGAGCGACGGCAGCTGCGCGCTGCAAACCTGCACGCCAAATCCCACAGCGTCACGCACAACATCATCACGGGGGAGCCCGTCAGGATGCCCATGCCCGCTAAGCCGCAATGACCTGAAACCCACGAAACAACAATACACCGTGGCTTCGACGAGCGAGCCCCGCGAGCTAACAGCATCAGCCAGGGCGCTGCGCCCGCGGGCCACAACATGTGGCTTCTGCGTGGAGCCACAGCGGCAACACCCCCCCTCCCCCGAAGCACTTGTCCGCGTCCGTAGGTGTAGCAGCTCGTGCACCAGTACCGCTGGCGTCGTGGTGCTTTGCAGTTTGACTGCGTGCGCCCTTACGGAAGGCGGCAGGGCACCGCTAATGTCGCCACCACTGCACTACTACGTTGGCATGCGGTTATTTGAAATGAGGTTGGAGAAGAGGAAGAGCAGCAGGGGATGGTGGAGAGGTTTGCTCGTTCGCCGGGCTGGGAGGCAGCGGCGGTGGTGCCGTCTAGGTAGCAGGCTGCGCCGCAGTGTACAGGCACGCGCTGCGGTACGGCAGCACTTGGTCACAGGTTGTCGGAGTGTGGTGACGGCTAATTTTGTTGGGCGCGCTTGCCCTGGCAGCGGACATAGACGTCGTACAGCCCCAGTGTGCCGAATAAGAGGCCCTGCGTGAAGGCAAAGGCGGACCGAAACAGCGAGAGCGGTTGGGAGAGGGAGTTCGGGTTCAGTATGTAGTGTAGTGTAGTGTAGTGTAGTGTAGTGTAATGTAGTGTAGTGTAGCAGCAGGAGGTCGTGTTGAGGGAGGGTTAGGCTAGGGAAGACAGGGCGCGGGTGGCGACACCGCGGGTGAAGGACACACACCAGCTGCTGGGACTGAGGGAATTTCGTGTCTTTCCGAGAAGCGAGCGTTGTGTACTGCACAGTACGCGGAAACTGCGCACTACTAAGGAGCTTGGGGCTGCTTCCTGCTTGCACCTAGGGCCGTCCCGGAAAGTGCTGGAGGAGAATACAGCAGCGCCAAGCGTGTTTTCGTTTCGTGTAGCAGGACCGCTGTAACTGCCTTCTTGTCAGAGCGCAGTTTGAAGAGCTTTACGGTCCATTAGGTGCTCCATCACGAGCGCATGACGCTTTTTAGCCAAAAATGGAGATTTTCGACCCCGGACAGGCGGAGGATTGCTAGGTGGGCTCTGCTCGGCACAATTGTAGTGGCATGATAGGTATATGTCTCTTGTCCAATTGCTTACTACTCACGTACGGTGCCAGTTAAAAGTAAACGTCTTGGCATTGAGGCGACAAGCGGCTGTGACCTGCCATTTGTGAACCCTGACTTTACTACCTCGTATTACGCTTTTACTTTACATACATATATATGCATATGATTGCCAGACCTGAGCTGGCGAACGAACTAGCCGAGGGGTGGTATCTTCTGTCTGTGTGTATGTCTGTATGTCTGGCAGGAAAACCAACCCCCAACACCCACACACCCTCACCCGGGCGCCGGCCTGGAGCGGTGGGTAGCCCTGTCTCTGCGCGTACATCGCCGTGATGGCCGCCACTACCGAATGAGCTACCAGGATGAACCACCAGGCCTGCTGGGCCAGCACCTCCTGGTCTGGATTTGGGAGGAGGAGGGGAGCGGGGAGGGAGGGGAGAGGTGGGGAGTATATGAAGATTCCGACACTTGACACCTTCAATCTTACAGCAGCACAGCGTCTGCCTTAACAATATCCGCGTACCCACCCGTTGTGAGCACTCCGATGCGGCTCCAGTCTCCCGAGAAACCAGCGTCCGCAAGCGCACCGTAGGCCTGCAGTGAGGGGCCGCATGTGTGTGTGTGTGTGAGTGTGCGCCCGTGTGGTGTATATGTGTGTAATGTGTGTGTATGCCGGGGAGGGACGCGAGAGCGGGGTGTACGGGTGTGGATTGGGTAGCGCACGACGGGTTTCCCGGGCCAAGCGTGTTGTCCGTGACCAGGCACCCATCGGGGCAATCCGGGGAGTCGCCCCCAAGCACGCGACCCGGAACATGCATGCACGGCGACCTGGTGCGGGGCCCCCTGCACGCCATCGTTAGTCCACCCACCAGGAGCTCCCCACCCTGGACCAGGTTGTAAACTCCACTGCTGATGGATCTGCAGTCAGAAAAAGCCAGCATCGGATGAGAGACTGCAAGCGCGTGCGTATGGGTTCCTGCAATACCCAGATGTCCGTGTCCGGAAGGGATAAGGCGCGGCAACCTTGCTTGCACCGGTATCCGCGAGGCAGTCAAGAGGGCCTCCAAGAAGGCTTAATGCACGATGACCTACATTTCTGTTGGCCAGAGCTTATAAGAGCTAGGAGCAGGCCATTGGTCATCCACCCCGGCCTGTGCAAGTATAGCGGGTCTAAGCTGACGCGCTGGCAAACTGGCTGGATAAGGCAAGCAACAACTACCTCTAAGGTACTTAGGAGCAAGATGTTGGCGCTGAAGAGTTATGGCTCGGGCTGTTCTCGATGTGTACATCGTTATGCGACAAGGCTCCCGGAGGACGTTGTTACCTAGAGTCACACAAGTTTTCCGGTTGTAATTGTTAAGCATAAGTATCAAAATGAAAACGCACCAGATGAACCAAGTATTGCGATTTAAGTTCGTTGGGGCAACTGACGCCCACGGCATGCAAGCAAAGAGATGGTTGAGCAGACGACGCCGTAGATGAGCTAAATCATCATAGCAAGGACTCAAGCAGCTTCTACGGAAGAAAGGAACCCGACTTCAGCCGGAGCTGCACCCAGCTCGGAGTCCGTCTATGGCAGCTCCAATCGTTTTTCATATACCTTGCACCATGCCTTGCGTAATTCATGTTTGCACACCGACCCATATCCTTGTGACCCAAGCGCTCTGCACACGTCCGGCCCTCGTCCATGCCACAGCCATGTCACACCGACGCCAGCCAACCAACGGAAATACCTGAAGCACCTCATCATTTAAACCTGGTATTCTCCGCAATTATTACACGCAGCATCAACGGGCGTCAAGGAGCGAAGGACCTCCTCCCTTTAAGCTGCTGGTAGAGACCTTAATACCTCATCCATACCGCCACCAAAAACCACCACTTCTCATCCTCCACTACGAGAAGCCGCTTTCCTCGTCTTCACTATATTTCCAGCTGGGGGGTTTCTACACACTCCTTTCCTTGGGTGGTGGTGGCGCTCTCCCTCCGAGTCGCGCATACCCGAAGCCCCGACCTGGATCATATACGACCTTTCCTTAAACCCCATACTCCCATTTCCCTCAAACCATCGCGCTCACACCGTCCCCATGCCAACACACGAGACGGTTGTGGTGTGGGGCCGCATTGGGGTTCCCCCGCGGGGCCCCCTTCACTCCTGCCCCTTCATGCCCTCTTGCTCTTGGCGGCCTTGGCTGCTGCTCCCCGGCCCTCAACCCCCTCCAGCCACTGACTGAACTGCAGGTAGATGGCCGCCAAGGCAAAGCCGCCAAAGGCCGCGGTAATGAAGGCCCGGTCGTGGAGCCAGGGCAGGTGAGGCGGGGCCGGCAGCGCAAGTCGGGCCGTGTGCAGCCCCAGCGCCCCCACCAACCCGAGACCGGTCAGCAGACCCCAGTGACCCACTGCCCAGTCCGACAAAACAAACACCAGACGACCCAAGGGGCCGCCGTGCCGCTGGCTGGCGCCATTGCCGCCGCCGCCGCCGCCGCTGCTGCTGCTTTTCGCTTCAGCCTCAGCCTGCCAGCGGGCATTAGATGGGTGTGAGAAAGTGAAGAGGATGCGGCAGAATGAGAAGCGCCATTACATCTCGAGACTGGAATAATTGTACCGAAGAAAAAGAAAGAGAGGCTTTGTGCTAGGCTGCAGTGTGTAATGCTGTGCACACACGCATATGCACATCCCAGCCCCGCCATCTTGCGAGGTGTGCGTGTCATCATGTCGCCGCACCTGCAGTCGTTGCAGCTGCCGCGCATGGTGCAGCGCCGGCCCCGCCATCACAGCGCCGTACAGTGCACACAACGCCACGTACGGCAGCGCCACCCCGTCTCTGTCCAGCAGCGGGAACATGGACAAAGCTGCCAGCAGTGGCAGCCATGTGGCCAGGGAGGGCTCCCGACCCGCAAGGAGGGTCACCGGCAGCAGGGGCAGCAAAATGGATTTCTCATGGACCTGGCGGGTGCGGGAGAGAGGAGGGGATGGGATGGGAGGGAGGAGGGGACGCTGACGGGAGATCTTCCCAAAGCACTCCCAACGAGGGGGAAGATACGGAGATGGGAAAAGACGCGGAAGGGCTCCCAAGCCGATCACGCTAGCATGCACATATACAGACAATCACATTTCCTTTTGTAGCAACAACATTCTGGCACGGGACGCCAGCATGAATGCATGTATGCATGCATACATACATACATGCAAGCATGCATACATACATGCGGACACGTACCTGGTAAGAGAACATGTAGAACGCAAAGGCCGAGTTCGCCAGGCAGCGCAGGAAGCCCCAGCGGGAGGGACCCCCCCCTCCTCCCCGAGGTCGACCCAGAATCTGATGCGCCATGGAAGGGGCCGCAGCCGCCAGCGTAGCTGCCGCCGCGGCCCGCAGCAACACCGGGGCCGAGAACCTCGACTTCCATTTAATCAACAGCGAGGAAGCACACCACCAGTTGGCCACGTAATCCTCGTACAGACCCCGCCGTACGGGAAAGATCCGCGTCAGCACCTGGTGGTTACAGCGGTTTGGAAAGGAAGACGGTCGGCGGTTGCAGCGGTTGGGAACCGGTACGGGGCTCCGAGGGTACGCGGCATTGCGGCTGGCTGAATCCCTGGCAACATACATACATACTTACATAAGGCGGACGAGCCGACGAGCAGGAAAGGCGACGAGCAGGAAAGGCGAGAGCGGACGTAGGAAACAAAGCCGACATCTATACATACATCCGCACACATTCCCTCGATAGACCCACCTGCAGTACGGCGCCCTTGGACGAGAGGTACGGCGCCCAGCAGGCCGCAAACGTCGCAATGACCACCAGTCCCAACTTCGCCACCGCCAGGACCTACAACGGCGATGGCAAGGGGGAGTGCAGGGCGATTGGGGGCGCACGGCAGGGGAGTAAAACATCTAAGAAAAACACCGGGGACTTGGAAACGAGATTCGGGAGCGGCTTCGGATTGGGATTTTGCGATGCGATTTTGATGATGCCAGGTTGGAAGCGAGGAAGCGGGATAGCGCGTGTGCGTGTGCGTAATCGGCTGTGGGGATCCGCGTTATGGTCGGAAAAGCCAGCGAGCCGCGACTCTGACATGTACTTATCTATCCCTCCCCCGCCTCCACACGCACACGCATCCGGTTCCCCGGCCTGGCCCTCCCCAGTCCAACTTCAGGAAGCTTGTCTGTGTGGGGCCCTGGGGTCAGCTCTAGAGCAGCGTCGAGATCTCTCGAAGCCCTCCAGCGATTTGAAGCTGATCCGTCCACCACACCGCATATCACCCACCTAAAGAAACCGAAATTGCGCTTTGTCTTCACTTCCTTTTTTAAGTTAAAAGCGAGTTCCAAACGCACCCCTGGACTCATCCATTCATCCGCCCCATTTTGTACACACTTGCAGATCCACATACGAATTGCCCCTTCTCACCTTCTCCCCACATCTCTCTCCGCGTACCTCTGTGTACCGATCCCTTAACCTTAAAAAACATCCCCATGAAGTATTTTGCTCTCGGACCTTTGCACAGAATCTTTTCCCTTTCCAACGCCCACATCACATCGAGACCATCACCACCACCACCACCACCAGCAGCACCACCACCACCACCACCACCATCCTGGTTTCCCCCCCCGCGAGAAAGGACGACTCCCACCTTGGCCATCACCCCTCGGTGCCGCTCCGAATGCAGCGCCCAGCCCAGCAAGTGGGCAAAGAAGCCCGGGGCGAAGAACAGCGCCATCTGCTTGTGATTGAGGGCTGCAGAGAAGAGCGCCGCGCCCAGCAGCTGCCGACCCGACCCGATGGCGGCTGCTGCCGCCAAAGTCAGACCAAGACTGATGTTGTTGTACTGAAAGTGTCCGTGGTCAATGATGATGGCGGCGGGGCTGAAGAGCAACGCCAGCAGTGCGAGGGTGCGGGCGCGGTGGGCGGTGGCGGAAGAGGAACCAGCGGATGGTGAGGAAGGGGCACCGTAGAAGACATGAATGGCGGCTAGGCAGGCGGGGATGTACACTGGCGGGGAGGGTGCGGGGGTGTGGAGGGACGACAATACACTCAGATTCGGGTGGGTGCGCGAGGGTGTGGAGGGGGGAGAAGTTTGATGAAGGTTTCCCCTTCGGTTGAACGCAAAGTATACAGTGGCGAGGTTGGACGAGGTGGCGATGAGACAGGTAAATATATACATACATATGGCAGGCGGCTGGCAGAGGTTACGGCCTGACTTCTGCTCCCGGCCGACCCGGGATCCGCCTGCCGGCTCCTCGGGTGTTTGAGGAGTGTTGAAATGGGAGGTGGGCCCCCATCATATGGACGATGTAGGACGTGATAAAATCGATGCGAGCTGACCAGGAACTAAGTTGATGCGCCGTTGATCCGCTAGATTTGGTTGGATGCTGGTGGTGAGTTGCCGAACCCAACGAATACATTCTGCGAAGTTAACCATACATAACTGGCAGGCGGCTGGCAGAAGTTAAGGCCTGACTTCTGCTCCCAGTCGATCCAGTCGACCCGGGTTCAAATCCGCCTGCCAGCTCCTCGGGTGTTTGAGGAGTGATGAAATGGGAGGTGGCCCCCCATCATATGGACGGTGTAGGACGTGATAATATCAACTTGCGAGCTGACCAGGAACTAAGTTGATGCGCCGTTGATCCGCTAGATTTGGTTGGATGCTGGTGGTGAGTTGCCGAACCCAACGAATACATTCTGAAGTCGGATGGGGTGACGGATTAGGGTGCCCCTCTAGCAGGGGAGAGCAGGGACTGCCCCGGGAAAGGGGGCCGCTGGCGAAGTTAACCACCCTGTAACAACATACATACATATGCTTGGTAGGATGGAGGGGAAAATCAAAGGAAGGAACACAAGTGGGTCTGGTCTGGAGACACCAGTGCAAATAATGGCTAAAAAAGTCCTAGGTTCGAATCCTGGGGAGCTCCCTGACATTATCGGGAGCGTGAGATTATGGCTAGCTGATGGGATGTGGAGTCGCGATTACAGTTGATGGATTGGTGGCGATTGCTGTTTCTGCAGATGTTCGGGTGACTGGATGAGGAGGGATCCAAGAAGGCAGGATCAACGTCATTTTTCATTCCATTCCGTATGCATGTATACGTGTACACATACATATCTAGGTGCGCGCAGAGGCGAAGTCCCGAAACCCTATCCATCCATCCGTCCACACACGGCCCTACCCACCCAGCAGGTCCGCTGCTATGACTGTCCAGCGCATCGCGATCTTGGAGGAGGGTGTCTCGTAGCCGTGGGACCTGACCAGCTCCACTGATGCGGGCTCCACCGCCCTCAACACCTTGCCACATAACCAGCTCTGAAACCGACCACACCAGCACCAGACCAGTAGGGGGTGAAGGGAAAGGAACGAACAGCAGCAAGCGGAGGGTGAGTGAGAAAGATTTAATGGTGCTGTATGTATGTATGTATGTATGTATGTATGTATGATAGCTTCTCCAATCCAAACAACTCAGCCATGTTGGGTCCCGGGAGCGGCACGTGCGGCGGGAAAAACCCCAAATGCAAAGGGGCTCTCTGAACTAACCTCAACTAATCTCAACCCAGCCCAAGCCCAAGCCCAAGCCGTCATAGCTCAGACACGGCCAGCGGCCCAGACAAGCCACAGCCTCAGGCCCTACCTCGCCTCTCAGCTGGTAACTCGGCAGCTAGTTACTCGTCTCACAACCCAGCTGACCACGTCATCGCCAAGACGACTACTCAAGAGTCATCACTGGTCAGTGTAAATATATTCCTGATGCCGCATCCTTTGTCTTCTCCTGGAGGACTACCCGTCTATCTCTACCCGTCTATCTGCTTCCTTCGCCAGTGGTTCGTCTGACTCCCCCCGCTCAGCTCCCCTCCCCAACTGTAGCAGCCGGTACATAGTACGGCGCTATAAATACGCGCAGAGCGCGACCGCCAGCAACTCGAGAGACCTTTTCAGCGGTCAGCTGCTACATTTGGTATCGAGACCTCGTGAAAATTCACGATCCTGAAGTCGTCGGTTCAACCCCCACCGATCACGTTCTAGTGGTATTCGGGTGTGGCGACTCAGAGAGCGAATATCGCTCAAATTATAAAAGTAGCTGAACCGACTGGACTGTCTCTGTGCCTGAAAAATCTGAAGACGGCTAGGCGCATGTGAGCCGGCACATGACGTGACGTGGAGTAATTACCCACTGCCCGAGGGTAGGCGAAGGTAGGCACAGGCTGGTGGCATACGAGGCTCTAAGGGCCCGGGACGGTTCCCTTCAAAGGGGGGGGAATGTAGCAGCCGGTACATAGTACGGCGCTATAAATACGCGCAGAGCGCGACCGCCAGCAACTCGAGAGACCTTTTCAGCGGTCAGCTGCTACACCAACTTGCTGTCACCACACGGCATGTAGGGCCGCCAGCCGCCAGCCCCTCTACTTGCTGTGGATGCTGATCCCCGCATAGACTTCAAACAGCCGGGCAACCATCCCTCGTGGGGCCGGAAGCACCCAGAAGAACTTGTACGCGCATACCATGTCACAGCGTGAAGACATACATACATACGTACATACTCAGGTCCCAGCGAAGGACCGCTCACCTGGCCTTTCCGCACACCCACCCCTGCGCACCTGATATCCTGACAACGGAGGATAATCCAGTGGCCAGTAGGAGGCGTTATTGACCGGGGAGTCCGTGTACCTGTAACCGAGCGGGAGGAGGGGCTTCGGAATGGTGTGGCGACAACAGCCAGCGAAGCATAAGCAGCAAGTGGTCACGTACTCGGAACGCACACCTCACCACTCCGTTACTGGTAAATTGACTGTCAGTTCCATCCAATGTCGTTGGGCCTCGTAATCTCCGTACTTGGGGGCGTCGCCGGCCCCTGAGCAACAAGTCGCTCCAGAGTATCAGGCAAGTTTGATCGCGTGACGTCCCCAGGCGGACATAGCGCACCCGAATACGAGGCGAGGCCGGTCAAAACGCGCACCAAGATGGCCAGCAGCACGACAACTGCGGTCGACAACCGATCATCGCCAACGAAGTCCAAAAGATTCAACATCCTTCAAAGGTTTGGCTTGAAACACACGGAGCCGACAACTGCTTTTGACTGCTTTTGGTGCGCGGCGCAGGTTAACCGTGCCCAGTCGGCATCGTAAGCAGCTTTATTGCAAAACTACCAATACAATACGTTAGATTGACATATTTCAATGCAGTCGTTTTCATAACAATTTTGATTACGCAGTGGACACGTTCCCCTTAGCCCGCCGTGACAGAGGTCGCCAACTGCCTACGCCTTCTATTATCGATGCTAGTTAAAGACTAAGCTGTCATGGGTTATATGTGTTCAGGCTCAAATCTTTTGCATCTCACGTCTTTTGAAACCCGTACACCAGCCGAGCACCCCTGAGGCTTTCCAAAGCGCACGAATAGACGAAATTCCCAAGGAACTCGCCAAGCCTGATGCATACATAGGCTCATTGACTGCCGGTTTCTCGGGCCGATCCCGGTTCCACCTTCCACGCTTCGTATACGCGTTAGCGTGTGTACAAGAGTGTGAGCGTGTGTACATGTGTGTATGCGTGTGTACGCGTGTTCATGCGTATGTGAGCGTGTGTACGCAATGTGCTCCCACAAACCGAATGGAATCCCAATGTCCTTCCGTACATGCACTGCATATTCCTAGTTCATGGCGCAGAATGCCCCCATCAGCTTCACCAACAGGATGACGTTGCGTGCAAATAATCACATGCATCCTGATTTGTGCTGCATTCGACGGGAAAGTATTCTTCAGGGATGTCTTCCTTCGGGTGTTTACCGTCCCGTCTGCCGTCGCTTGGTAGGGACCCAAACGTGATGTACAGCAATGTGCCGTACACTGTTCTGTCTATTATGGGTCCCTTCACATGGACATTACTCCGTTCAATCTTCGCCAATGCATTACACAGCGTTGCGACTGGGGTGACTTTGCAACTTGGCAACTATAATCGGTACCACACCTTTTCCTCTGCAAGCACGAAGCAGTTTCACTTCCCCCTACGGGTGTAGCTGAAACCCGTTCAGAAGGCCGGTGTCGCGGTGTTCGGTTCTCACAGTCATGCCTCATAATGTTTATATGTGTGTGTCAAAAGTGTGTCAAAGTCAATCAAGAGCCACCTCTTGTCGAATTGCGTCAAATTTGAAGGGCGTTTCGCAAAATACCGTAATGATACGATTCTTTTGTGATACGTGTTTTGGGAAGGCCCAAAATTAACGCTGAAATTATTTTGATGATATGCAATTTTGGGGACGGTCACGAGAAAAATCTACAGTTGTGATACACTTTTGGGGACGGCCCCGCGGGCGTGCTCACGCTTCGCGCGCTTACGCTTCAGCGTCTACTACCGCCAAGCTGCTATCAAAGTCCGAACAGCGCGGAAAGGCTGCGCATTAAGTCTTGGGCAATCCCATTGGGAGCATTGGTGTCGAGCTTGGGTAAAAGGCTAGTAAGCTTAAGCTGTTTAGGTGCCATTCTGAGCGCGCTTTCTGAGGGTGGGCCTGTAAGCTAAAGTTCTTGTCCGATCAACTTAGGGGTAAAAGACGAAGATAACTACAAGCCAACAGCGTCTTCTGGAGGGCTTTTACTGTTGGTCGATACCGTTAACACGGTGTACGACACATTTGTGACAGCCAGTTTGGTGATGCCCATAAAATTTTGCCTAAGACCTTTTTCCACTGCTATGCATTTGGGGACGCCATACCAATTGCGTGTCACAAAAGAATCGTATCATTACGGTATTGAAGCAGATGGCCATGGTGGAAGCCTCGTGAACCCGTGGATGATTATGCCTTCCATTTGCAGCGCACATACGGAAGACTGCTCTTGACGGACTTCCTGATGGTGTTCAGACCGTACTTAAGCTGCCTGGCGGTGTTGGCGAATATCAGATAGAATGTTAGGTTTTCTTGTTAGTTGTTAAGTCGTTAACTTTACTCGTGGACGATCATTTGAGATACGGATAATGTACGACCTTCCGGCGCCGCCTAGGCTCTGGATAACTATTTAAGTCGTTGTTGTTGTTTAGTTTGTTATGTCATCATTGTTACATCTTGTAGGTTGTTAGCTGGCTTAAGTCGCTCGGCCCTCTTTGTAATCATCGTGGCATCCCAACGAGAAACGGAGCCTATGCCCTTTCAGTTGGTATCGATCTAGACGATCCGGCCTATACGCTCCGCCTTCGTCTTTATCGTCTTCGTCTTCGTCTTCGTCTTCGTCTCCGTCTTCGTCGTCATCGTCATCGTCATCGTCATCGCCTTCGTCATCGTCATCGTTATCGTCATCGCTTCGCTGGTCATCTTCGTCTTCGTCATCCTCCAATGGCTCTCGTCCCCACAGAAGTCCACCGCGACCGCTCCCGTTCACGGTCTGCAGAACTTCCGGGCAACATCCACCTGTCGCCATTCACGCTCGACCCCTCTCCCATCCCCCCTATCGTCCACTCCGCCCCTACCGTCCCCATCGTCGACCCCGTCCCCACCACCTCCGACGCCGCTACTTACGTCCCCTCGCTCCAGGAGGCTATCACCTCCGCCGTCCGCGCCGCAATGGCCGAACTCCCTCCGGCCCCATGGTCGACCGCCCAACAGCCCCATCCCGGACTTTACGCCCCCCTCCCTACCATCGCCCAACCTCGGCCGCCACATCTGAACCTCTTGCATGTGTCCCGTGACTTCCCCCCCTTCGACCCCAAGGATCCCCGTGCAGACATCGGGGGCTGGGACATCCAAATGCGACACAACCTGGATATGGCCGGCGTCCCCGAGGATAGTCCGGAGGCTGCTAAAATCGCCCTTTCAGTTCTTCGCGGATCAATGGGCGACAGTCTAAGGCGCCTCAACGCGGACCCCGCCACACGTTTTACATCTTACCAGGCCGTCCTTCAAGCCGTCACTCCCTTGGCCCCGGATTTAATCGACCTCGCGCTCACCATCTCAACGGGGCGCGACGCTGCCAACCGCATCCGCGACGACCCCTCTCCGCCTCGACCACGGGATCATCGCCGGAACGACCCGATGGACACCTCCGCCGCCCTGGTCCGTCTACCCCAGGGCACCCGCACCATCAACGTACCCGCCCAGCTCCGCCACCAACGTCAGGACGCGGGCCGGTGCTTGCAGTGCGGATCGGAGTTCCATGATAAGCTTTCGTGCCCGGACCTTATTCACCTGGTACGCCAGCAGTCCTCCAGGCCTCCTTCGCCCTTCCGTGGACGCTCCCGCCCCAACGACCGCTCGCCCTTTCGTTCCACCACCTCTCGAACCGCAAGCCGCTCCCCCTCCCGCTCCCCCTCCCGCTCCCCCTCCCGCTCCCCGGCTCGCACCGACAATTCCGACCGCCGTCGTCAGGACAACGACCGCGGACGCTCCTTTCCCTCCCGTTCAGACAGCCCCCACCCTCGCCGCGATGACCAGCACCGCCGCGCCGACCCAACCCGCCGCCGCTCGCCCCGTCCCCGTTAATGTGGCCTTCAAGCCACCACCGGCAGAACAGGTTAGCCACAGCTTGCCGGTGCGTTTTGCTGTGCAACGGTCAGCCGAGTCTGACACCCCGCCGCCGCCGCCGTTCAACGTTTCGCGCCTAACCCAGATCGCCAGTAAGCCCGCCCGCCGTGTAGGTTGTATGCGTGCTCGTGTTGCTGCAGCCTCCACGACGGAAGCGCACCGGGTGGACAGCGACTGGATGCTTTCGCGCACCGTCTTCCTCGATCTTGACTCGCAGTATGGCCCCTTCACCGTCGACGCCTGCTGCGACGACTTCGGCATCAACGCCCACGTCGTTCCCTTCTTCTCGCCGTCCCGCTCCTTTCTGTCGGCCCAAGTCGATGGCGAGTGCGTCTGGATGGTCCCGCCTACCTCGTCCCCGTCCGCCTTCATCTCTCAGTACCTGGAGTCCAAAACGACTAACCCTCGCACCTCCGCCATCATCGTCCTACCAGACCGTCCTACAGCCCCCTGGGCTCCTCTCATACGCCACATGACCGTCGTGCGCCGCTTCCCTGCTGGCGCGCGGATCGTCTGCCGCCGCGACCCCTCCGACGCCTCCAGGTACGGCGAGCCAGGACCTTCCCCCTGGCCGCTTATCGTCTTTTACGACCCACCGTCCAACACCCCCTTCACGCTCGCCACTTCGTCCACTACCTCCTTACCTACTTCGTCGTCTCCGTTGTCCCCTACTTCGTCGTCTTCGTCTTCTCTTATCTCGTCGTCTCCGTCGTCCCCTACTTCGTCGTCTTCGTCTCCTCTTATTTCGTCGTCTCCGTCGTCCACTACTTCGTCGTCTTCGCCCTCTCTTATCTCGTCTTCGTTGCCTCCTACTTCATCGTCTTCATCCTCAATTATTTCGTCACCTCCGTCCTCTACCATGTCGTCACCTACGTCGTCAACTACTTCGTCGTCCCCGCTTACCACCACCTCCCGTGTTCGACAACTCACCCACCACTTCGCAACCCCAAAACCACTCACACCCCCAACCGCGGAACAACCTCCGCCGTCCCGCTCCAACGTCGCCCGTCTCATCGCCCGCTTCTCGCCCTCGCCCCCAGCCCCACAACCCTCCACGGCTCCCGTACCTCCACCTACTCCTACCCCGCAACCACCCACCAGTATAACCGCTCCACCTCCGCGCGTCTCCTTCGCTTCTCCCCTCGTCTCACCACCTACCCCTCACTCTACCCTCCCTCGCCCCCAACCCATCCCTCGTCCAGCACTCAAGCAGCACCACCGTCTTCGCCAACCTCCGTTACCACCCGTCGACGAAAACACACCCACTTCACAGGTCCCTCTACCCCCTATCCTCGGCCGCCTGACAGCCGCCGATCTCTCCTCCACACTCATCGTCTTCGACGCCCACATCGCTGGACGCCCTGCTCGAATCCTTCTTGACTCCGGCGCCTCACGCAACTTCATAGCCAACGATTTCATCAACCGCTCCCACCTCCGTCCCGCCAATCTTCCACCGTCTCAAGCCTTCCGAGTCCGCCTCGCCAACGGACATCTCGCTCTCTCTTCCGCCGCCCTTGCCAA